CAAAACAATGAATCTAAATCTAAAGCATATCTAGTAAGCATCAAATTTTTAACGCTGAAAACAACCCTTTTCTTTCGTTTTAGAGCTGTGTACTATATACTAAAAAAATTCCAACGATATTGGCTACGTGACCAATTTTCATTTAATTATCTTTTATTTTGCCACCAGCTTTAACTCTTAAAAGAAACGATTCAATTTTCATAAGCTTGAAAACAAAAGCGAAGTAATGATGAAAGGCCAAAATCAGTACTTAGCCCACCTTCGGATCCAAGTAATTAACCTTCTTTTAAAAACCTGCATGTAAATCAGACGAACTAGGTCATCTTTTGTTGGCTTGACATAGAATACGATGTTAACAATGTGCATCTCGTTAAATGCGAAACTCGTTTTGCGAATAAGACCAGCCGCCTTCTGAGCTTGTACTGAGGGCGATGTAGCACTCGTAATAGCTGCACGTTTTTGGCGATAGCCTCAAGATGTCACTATTCAACAACCAACGACAAGCGAACATAAGAGTGGTTTTTCGCAAATTTGACAAAGATTCCGACGGATTCATAACTGTTAAAGACCTCATTAGCGTTTTCAGGGAACTTGGCGAGGATGTCAGGGAAGATGAACTGAGAGAACACTTTCATAACGCAGGTAGGGGACATGGATGTGAAAAAAGGAATTTCGATAAGTATGATCTTTTACTGCGGCGTAAAAAGATGCAACTGTAAGTTCAAAGAGGTAACTGGTTACTTCTCAGCAAACCACATTATCGAAATCTTCTATCACGTTCTGATAACTATTAGGTCTACAAAGAAATTTCTCAAGTTTTTAAAGTTAGACACTAGTTAAAAGCTCACAGTTCAGCAATTCCACTGACTGGCTAAGATTACTCTTTTGATCCTTACATAGTACACAACCGTGAGAGAGTAATTCAGGACTTCACTAGATAGAGACTTCTTCATCGGCCTTGGATCATTACTTTTAAATAAATCATTTCGATCTCTGATTAAATCCTCTATCACACCCATTTCTTGTAATTACAAATGTAGGAGGGTCAAATAGGATAAACTACATCTCACCTTCCAATATTAGAGCCAGTGTTGAAACCTACCCTCCCCAGGTACATAAATTACTGCAATTCTCTCCCCCTTCCATCCCTGACATTTTATGCCCCCGCTCGAGGTTCACGTATTTCTAGTTATTTTTAAATAAATCATTTCGATATTTAGCATTAAACTGTAATGGTTCACAGTGATATGCCATCGAGTCAACTCGTCGCTTGAACCAGCTTACTTTTTCTCGTTTATTTTCAGGCCTGGGACACCGACCAAACACGCTTATATCTTATGACATTTTTCACCAGATATCCAAAAAAATCCTGCGTGAATCGAGAAAGGAACGACGTCTTAAAAGAGTGTTTCAAGAGTTCGACGCAGAAAAGAAAGGCTACATCGAAGGGCATGGGATACGGCGGGTTCTTCGAAGACTTCACATTGATCATACAGAGTCAGATATAGACTTAATGATGAAAATGGCAGATACAAAGGGAGATGGAAGGGTACATTTTGAAGAATTTCTCCAGATTTTCAACGACTCAGATGATATATAAGAATTTCGCCATATACTATTGCTGCGGCTAGTGCAGAAAAAAACAAATATGTTTATTTTTAGTTGTTGATCGAGTTAATCAGATTGTCAAAAGGTGGGCAATTGTTTTCAATTCCAGATCAAGTTGTTTCCATTTTGGGGATTATAGACAGGAAATTTGATTTCTCAAACGTTCAAAATTCTTTAATAGTTTGACTTGTCGTGAGATCTCTTAAGCTGTGAACAGTTTAAACAAAGTTGGATTAACAAACCGAACAAAACTTTTGAAAGGAGTCAGAATTTTGTAAGAATAACAACAAAAAGCTACAGAAATAATGAAAACAAAATAATATGTAAACGTCTATAGCACTCCGCTCTAATCAATTTTTAAGCAAAACGAAATTTTCCTTTTATAAGCAAAAAAAATCTAAAAGGTATCTAGAGGCGCATGTCCCTGAAAAATCAAGTGTCCTACGACTTGGGGTAAATCAAAACTTTTATGCTTTCAGATGCGAAGATGTGATGCCGGCTTCGACAACTTGAAATTAGTATAAAGCAGAGTTACGCGAACAAATACAGGTGGTTTCCACATAAGGGAATACCTTTTTTTGTTTTTAAAGAATTTTACAACAAAGTCATCGCACTTAATTCATAAATAATGATAAACAGCTGGCATACTTTCTTCTAAAATGAAAAAAGTAAATTTAAAACAACGTTTGATAGAAAAACAAAATAGGGAAGGAAGTAACACTGCAGGCATTTTAAGTCCGTCAGTGGTCACAAGTACTTTTCTACGTCATTTCAAAACTAATGAATGAAAAAAGAAACAAGGCTCTTATGGCAACTACTTGACGTCATTTCAACCGCAATATTTTTCTTCACGAAACATGGCAACAAGAAACAGCATGGCCAACGGACCATAGAAGCGAGGTTGTAAGAGAAAGACCAATCAGAACACAAAATAAAACGCAGCCGGTGAGATCACTGGCTGTTCAGCTATCTCACCTATCAAGTAGAAACTCGAGAAATTCCTCAGCGAAAATTAGCGATTCTCCTTTTTTTCGGGTCTCAAATAGCGGTTATAGTTCTGGCACTCCACGCGCGTTTCATGGTACGACTTGCAGGCAAGTCTTAAGTTCGCGCAATGTAGAAACTGGTGTGGACACATTACCTACTGTCTCAATAGAGACCTTAGGATACACCGTTTCCGTGTACGGTGACGGGTGAATTACCCTTACCCCTAGCCGTAAAGACGGGTTATACTGTCTCATACCCTGAAGGAAACGCCGACTAGGCTACCGGTAAAGTTACTGTAATAATAGACCTCAGATACGCCGTTTCCGAAGCACAGTTAGGCCGGGCAAATTACCCTCACCCCTACCCCCAGAGGTAAACACAGGTAGAATATCTCTTACCCCAGAGAAACGGCTTACCATCCGGGTTAAGCGTTAGGACCAATAAACACCGATTACTTAAATCACAGTCTCCTTTTCTAGTATAAACAGACGACAAAAACGACAGTGCATCTTACGGTTCCTTACCTAAGACTCGTGCTTTGTTATTGTCCTTCATAGACCTTGTCACGGTTTTCAACGCAATCTTGACGAGTAGGCAAACGCGTGAGAAATTACAGTGTTTGTATGAGAATCTAATATCGAATAATTTCCGTAGAACGACTGTTCTGAAAAAGATATCAATTGTAAACTAAAGCTACAAAAGCAAAGGATTGTGCGGAAGCGTACCTGTGCTTAAATTTCCCCAGAGGCTTGCTTTAGATTTTCCATATATTTGTCTGTAATTTTCCCGGGACGTTCTTACAGACAAATGTATAGGGAATTTAAAAAGTGGTTCTAGGTCTTCTAGTGCATGTAACACCCTCAAATTTTTTCAGTAGAATCCTCAGGAGTGAAGCTTTGGTTTACAAATCATATTTTTTTCAGAACAGCCGTTCTACGGAAATTATTCGAAATTAGATTCTCATACAAACACTGTAATTTCTCACGCGTTTGCCTACTCGTCAAAATGGCGTCGAAAACCGTGACAAGGTCTACTGTCCGCTTTTTTTTTTTCGCCTCCATTATTTTTCCTTTCGCGATTGTATGTTAATGTAGTGCAGTAGAACCTCGATATAATGAACCTCTATATAACGAAGTCCTTGGTATAACGAACGATTTACTTTACCCCTGTAATAGTAAAAAACGTGGAAAAGTTCCTCGATATAACGAAACCTCGTTATAAAGGACAAATTTTGCCAGTCCCTTGGCACTTCGTTAAATCGAGGTTTCACTGTATCGTTTTATACGGCAAACTTAGTAAATAAACAAATAAACAACAAGTCTAATGGTTGTTAAGATTTGCTTGTCTTACCTCTCGCCCTTTGCTTGTCACAAGAGCGGCCAAAGGTTTGGCGTAGAAACGAGAATGTGAAAATCCTAAGCAACCATACATACTGGAAAAAAACGAAGCGGATGAATAAAGGTGATGTTTCACCAGACGACTCGCAACGACGAATTTTAGCACAACACAGCGTTGCAACATTGTTTTGAATGCCTGCAACATTGTTCCAACATCGCAACGCTGTGTTGCACTAAAAGTCGTCGTTGCGAATCATCCCGTGTAACTTTCAGGAACATTTAATTTTCTGGCTATTTGCTATCTTTAGAGGCTTACTTTACCTCATATTAAGTACATTTAGTCTGTAACCAGACCAACGTGAAAAAGCGTTGAATAAAAGGGTCCCAAAAAGATACTTTTTGACAAAAATAGTTGAAAAGTACACTGACTTGCATTATGTCGGTTTTAATTTATAGACGAATGACACCTTTCCGTTATATCTACATCTCATTTACCTGTTGGCAGTTAATTTCAAAGCTTTCTGTCTGATATCGTACTGAAACAAAAACAAAGGTCTTGGTTATAAACAGGTTCTCAGAGAAATCTACTCGCGGGTGAGGGGTGGGGGGATTAACCCTGCGTGCTAGATCTCTAAACCCGTAAAATAAAGGAAGACTACTAAAGCCTATGACTCACTGCTCAACATCGTTTAACAATTAGTTGCTCAACAAATGACGAACGATGTCGCCGCTTGTTGAACGAGTAGAAATAAATTACCCACTCGAAAAAGATTGACTGTCTTGCGCTACAGTTGCTCCAGCATTTTTTTCAGCTTCCATAACATACATTTCTAGCTGATGTCGGCTAACATCAACTTACTTGAATATATTGATCTGATTCTCGATTGAGGTTCTTCATCATGCCTTTCACCTGCAAAAAAAAGGCTTGCGTTGAACAAGAAATAATGTTACATAGCTGGAAATTTCTTCCCAACAGCGTGCGCTCTCATTGGCTACTTCGAGGTCACATGACATCTAACAATAAAACTGTTTCCCGCCAAAATCTCTAGGCGGGCAACGTTGCAAAATCTAAGATGTCAGAGGGTAACAGTGCACTGTTACCTGCGGATGTTGACCGACGACCGCAGTTACATCCACAGACGGAACTCTTAATCTCGTTTAGTCAGCCTTTCTTACGCTATCACCGTGCGAGCTCACAAGGGAGGCCTTGTTTGTATGTAATTAAAATAAAGTTGTGAAATGAATTAATCAGCATGTCACGATTCAATCACTTTTTCAAGTGATTAAAGAGGGTATTTGAAGCTATTCAGTTTACTTTCCTTTTAAACAGCTAAAACGTACATCAATTGAATTCAAATGGTCCAGTTTTGTTATTCAGGCAACGAAACTGTGTGCTTCCTGTCATCTGTTGCTACTGACGGCAAGAATATACAGTGGAACCCCGCTTAATACGGACACCCCGTTATTACGGACAGTTTTTCTTGTACCTAGCCCTTACATTTTCTCTAAATTCAACTCGCTTAATATGGACACTTTTTATTGTCCCCTTAGCGTCCATAAAGTGGTTTGGCTGTATAAGGATTGAAACTTTTCAAGTTTTAATGCTATGCATGCAAAAACCACCAAAAAATTATGGCAAATGCTGCCTCAGTAATGGAATTTTTTTTAATAGAGCGATTTTCGTATGTCCTCGAAGTGAAAACACGCGAACAAAACAAGCACAACAAACGTAAGGAAATAGGGCGATTTGATTGGTTTATCGAACAGATACAAACGCGGGTGGCTTTTGGTTGGATAAGCGAACGCTCGCGTGAAAAAACTTCATGCTCGAAGGGCTTTCTAGAAATCAATCGATGCTTCGCTTTGACGTCATACTGCATCACGATTAGCCAATCGAACAGTGCCTTCTCCATATTAAGGTTTTCTTTGGCGGGAAAACAAAGAGGCCATGTTTTGATCTCTTCATCCATTGGCTGATAAAACAAATAACGAACACTTACCGAAACCAGTTTTCAAGGTCATACGAAAATCGCTCTATCTTCTTCATTACACTACAGGAGCATTTTATGTATGGGTTAAGGCACTAAACAATGACTTTATCACATGATTGACCTAAAACACTCACAATATCCTGGTGACAGAACACCTTAAAGTCAGAAACGCAGATACCAACCTGTCTTCTTCGTTCTACCAACTTTCTGATCTCCGTTGGGAGGATTCCAGGCTCTAACTCTGGATCAGGTAACTCAACAACTTCATTGTCGTCGGCCTGTAGGAATAAAATTAACTACTTTTTAAATTTTCGCCTCTACAGTACAGAAAATCACAAGGCTTCTAGGAAGAATACTCTCCTAAGGGAGAATGTAAGTACTGGTAAAGAATAGTAAATCGAGAAACATTGTCCGTGTGATTGTTGAAATGTTGTTTCTAATATTGTCAACAAAACTGACAATAAATGGTGAAAGTGCTTTTCGAACCTATCAAAACAAGGAGGCAGGGCGGTTCGTGTGGTCTTACTTGAAGAGGTCTTACATACTGACTTTTTTACGCAGTTACACACCCCATTACAAGCAAGAAAGTGCTGAAAATTTTCTCGCAATGGTCACACGTACGAATTTCATCTACAAACTCAGTCGTTTCAGCCATCTGGTACGGCATAGTAAGTACAGTCGACTCTCTCTTAACGGACACCTCTCTAAGACGGACACTTAGTGCCGGTCCCAAAGGTGTCCGTCTTAGAGAAAGTTGACTGTACTACCCAGTGGTTTTAAATTTCAACGGGGACCAGACAAGGATTTCAACCATAGGTTCAAAAGTTATAAACGTCTTGTACAACACAATAAACAAAACCACAGGAAAGTACTACTCAGGGGATTTTACTAAAACGGTCACACTTTTTATAAATTAGCATTTCATCCATACTGCACACTGCCGCTACATCTTCGTGTATTATAAGGTGTAAAAACTCTTGGCTTAAACCTGATAATACACTCCAGCTCGTTTTATAAACAGTACTAAAAGAACAGAAACTAATGAAATCAATTAACTCACTCCACTGATAGAGCCAGAGGTTGTTCTACTGATAGTAGTGAAACAAATGTTATATTCCTGAATGATGGACGGGTACAAACTGTTGAAATCCAGCAGCAAAATGTGTTTGTCGTAGAAACCTAGATAAAGTACATTATATGAGAAACATGATTCACGCGAGTAACATCACGACCTATTTAGAATTTGCTGCACACCTGAATGATGATCGACATCCTGTGAAGTGAGAACTATGATTTTTACAAACGTCCCACGCGATTTGTTACTTAACTATCGTGAAAAAAATAACTCAGTGGTCCACAGGGGAAGCAATGAATTTTAACATACCCATTCCAATAAGAGGGGGTTAAATCATGATTTTCAAATGCAAATTAAAAATAAGTAAATAAATTCACGATGACAACTTTGTTTCTTGTACCCGGTAGCCTCATTGTAGAGATAAGGCGTCTGTTAGAAAGCCGCACTTTATTCCTCTTCAGTCCATCTGAACTCCCCCCGCCCCAGACTAATAACGGCACAAGTCAGACAGACCAAAAAACCCACTCTTTTTCAAATCGTGCAATGGAGATTCTTTTCGTTTTCCCCACTAAGTAACTTGGAACCTGGAACAGACTAAGTTAAATACCTTTCTTGGGATCTAACACAAGACCACCGGCGTAAGCTGGTTTTCTTCTCCCTTTCTTTGCGCTTCGTGTTTGTTCCTCCTCATCGTGCTCTGCCTCAACCTATAAATGAACGGAAAACGTATTATGATTCGACCCCCCAACAAAACTCTCTTTTTAAAAAGATGGTCAAAGCAAGCCGCGAGAGAACGCGCGAGTGAGCGGTGTCCGTCTCGCGTGCCACTCGCCCGTGACTTTTCACGAAAGCCGCCAAATGGAGTGCTTGTTCGCAGACTAGAGTTCAAGGCGCTTAATAGAAATAAGCCAGAATTTTTCTGGGAAAACGCAGGGACGCTTCGACAGTTTGTAAAATTAACACGGTACTGAATGTTGTCTTAATTCTCACCACTTGTTTTTTGCCGTAACTTTTGTCAGGGCAGATGAAATTCCTGTGGAATAAAATAAAAATATAAATCTGACTTAAAAGTTTTTTTTACTTCTCAATGATGCTTAATGTAACTTTGCAACTGTGTTTTTCATGGCTGCACTAGGTAATCGACTGAAAAAAAATCATCCCAGTTTCTCAACAGATCATAATAAAACCAACCCCAACCGCAACTTATCCGCACAAAATTTCCCCAACCCTCGTTCACAGGGTCCTCCCCTTACTCGTGGGAACGAGGTTGAAGATTTCCCGCGCTTCGCGCCGATCACCCGCATTTGGTTCGAGATTCTTGAAAACTACCAACCTACCTCTCCCCCAACCCAACATTTTGCCCTCGCAAGAAGAACGAGTTAAAATTGGATTAGGGGAGGGGTAGGTGGGATAGTTTCCCAGAATCATATACTGCTCCCAAATTGACATTTGATTGTTTGTTTTTGTGGTGACAGGTTAGCGGGATCACTGTTGTTCTGGGTTTAGGACATTTGAAAAAGAACCTGCTTCGAAACCGAGCAGTAAAAAGTCTTACTTTTCGTTGAAGGCATGAAGTAAAAGAAATTCGTTTCTTTCTGATCGACCGCCAAGAAGAGTGCGGGCCTGAAAACAAGCAAGATTATTGGTCATTGATTGTAATTTCAAGTTTCAATATTTTCAAACGGTAATTATACATGAAAATTGAAGAGAATTTAAAGACTCACCATAACATTTCCAGCAATAGTCGTTATCTGTAGAGCCAGTGGTAGAACCTAGAAGTAAAAATGATGTTAAAAAAAAGTTGAAAAGGGGGGAAAGGGGGCGGTGGCGCCCTTCCTCTCCGCAGTTTCCTCACGTTTTTTTTTTCGTTTTCGCGCCTTTTGAATTTCGCAGACCCGACTATCTCGAAACCAAACCGGAGAAAAAAAAAATATCCGCGTTCAAACAAAAACAGACACGAGTGGACGGGGCTTTTATTTCAATTGGGGGACAAAGCGCAGAATTAAAATGACGGAAGTTCAGGTAGAAAATTGATTATGTAACAGGAGGTCTAATGAGAGTGGAAATCACATTTTAAGGAAAAAAAACCAAGACTTACGTTCAAATCGTACATGATCCTTAGTGACAGCAAAGCGTCCATCTGAAAAAACCAAACAGAAAATGCATGAGATAACACAGCAATAACACACACAATCACAAGACCAAAGATGATCAATGACACATATTGATCAGCACTTACCGAAGTCAGTTCAAACATGTGAAGGAGTTCGTGAGAAGAACTGGAGAAAAAAATAAAGAAAATTTAAATTATTAACTTAAAGGACTTCTTAATGAATTACTACCCAAAACAAACCATTTATCCATCCAAAAAAGTCTTGATCTGTTAGACATCAGTCAACATGGGGGAACACTTTCTAACATTCGTGAGCAATAATGTGACGTAGGATGCAAGAACATTTGGCTACGACTAAAGATTTTCCTTGATTACTTACTTAAACTTGTTTGGAATTTCATCTTGGTCGATTTCTTCTCTTCTGGACTGAAGGACAGCCCACGATAGTGCTAGAAAAAATGGGAGAAAGAGAAGCGTGTATAAAACTCAGTAATTTGGATGTTAAAAAAGAGCGAGTCACGTTAAAACTGAGGATGCGCTTAGCATTTTACGCGCGCGACAAGGCGTTTTACCCGCGGCTCGGGAAAAGGCAACAAGCTTACCTCGGGGAAAGATAAAAATGATCGTAGTTTACCTGCGTCAAATGTTGTCCTTGCCTCAAGTGTTGTCCATCATACGAAAAAATAAACCAAGGAAACTTTAAAAAGTTCAGCAAACCACGATCGCTATCGAGTAGTTTATCTTGGGTTTTTGTGTTAAACGATAAAATACCCGTCATAGAAACGCTATGAAATTTCCCGCGTAAAAGATGCTCAGTGCGCGGCGACGAAGTAACGTGGGAAACAAACATGAGTGTGACCGCTTTTACCTCTTTATATATAACAACAAATTGAGTGTAACCACGACCAATAAAAACGCTGGTAATAGTAGGCCGATGCTGTGGTTTAACTAAGCCAAATGCGGAAGGCTCACTGTTGAAAGCGCTGGTAGTAGTAGACTCCTTGTGTGGTTTAACTAAGCTAAATGCAGAAGGCATACCGGTTAAATCATAACTCTTGCATCTGATAAGCTCCTTGGAGGAGATCTTGACATCGCAGACCATACGCCCACTGGTAATGCAGCGATCAAGGTTACCACCCTTGCCAAACCCGCCACTCTGGAAAAAAGATTAAAAGTATTGAAAATAACACACTATTATTCGAGGCGTTTAGCGAAGGATAGTACTCTCTTAAGTTACATTTGGGCTGTAAAAATTGGCGCATCTTTCAGTAAAAAATCTTTAGAGAAACTGAATCGGTTTTGCGGATATATGTTCATACTGTATCGGAGAGCAACCTAGTTCCCAGGGTTCTCTCCTACCCGCCTCCATGGAGCGGGTAGGAGAGAACCCTGGTAACGAGGTTGATCGGAGGGCTTTTTTGCCGGCACGAAAACCATAGCGGACAGGGCTTCTATTCACGCATAAGATCGATGTTTCGAGCGAAGCTGCGCGGCGCCGAACTCTAACATGGAGAGACACATATCGGATAAGTGTTCCAGGTATAGAGTGAACAAAGCCTAAAGGTGATGTTACACGGGACCATTCGCAACGACGATTTTTAGCTCAACACATCGTTGCAATGTTAGAACAATGTTGTAACTATTCGAAACAACGTCGCAACATCGTTGCAACGCTGTCACAGCGTTACAACAATGTTGCAGTTCGCAACGACGATTTTTAGCTCAACCCATCGTTGCAATGTTAGAACAATGCTGTAACTATTCGAAACAATGTCGCAACTAGGGGTGTAAGGATTCATACTCCTTGCGATTCAATTCGATTTCGATTATTGTCTTTCGATTACGATTATTTCGATTCGATTATGTAAATGTTTCTTAATTCTTATAACATAACGTGTAATGTTAACAAGACTCAACCCTAAACCCTCAATTTGAGAATAGTAACAGGGACAGGAGGATTCACAGTCGCTTGGTTCGTCGCCATGTTTGAGAACCCGACAAAGATGGTTTGCCTTATTTGGGAATTCTCAAGGGGTGGTTGAAGGAGAGCATTTTTACCAGGCAATACAAAATGGCGCACAAACTACTATCGTCTTTGCTCGTCAATCAAAAACGCACATTTTAAAGACTTCTGGATTCTGATTTTACAATATAATAACTCTCTGAGGGCAAGGTGTGCAAAAATCGAAGCAAAATCGAAACGTGGAAGCAAAGAATCGTGAATCAAACCGAACGGTCATAATCGCGATTAATCGAGAATTCGATTAATCGTAACACCAATAGTCGCAACATTGTTGCAACGCTGTCAGTGTTGCGCTAAAAATCGTCGTTGCGAATCGTCTCGTGTAATATCATCTTAAGCAACAACGACAGCGACTTTGCACGTGCATCACGCATTTTTGTAAATTTGTTTGTCATCAGGGAACTTAAGCAACAACGGCGGCGGACGCAACAGGTACGGCAACAAAGCAATAGGTTAAGATTGACAAAACAACAACTTTGCACGTGCATCACGCTTTTTTGTACATTTTTTAGCCGTCACTGCACGACTACAACGTGAAAGTGCTTAATTTCACGTTTTGTCGAGGACGGGATCAAAAGATAACAACTTTCTTTTTCTTTCCTGAACTTTGATACAGTCCTTCACAATTAAACTCCAAAAAATTTGCTAACATTTGACGAATTAAACGGATGGAATAAGTGCGATAAAGTTTGCAGCAGCGCGACTTCACTTTTAAAGTGACGTTTTCGTAGCCGTCGCTGTTTTCCCGCCATCGCTATCGTGCGCGCTTGAGCTCCCTGTTGAGTTGAATTGCATCCTGGGACTGTTTTGCGGGACGAATTCTGACCCAATTTCCTGCGCAACCTTGTAATAGCCAATCAAGAAAGCGATAGCCTCCCCAAAACCGTCCCATACTGCAATTGGACACAGCACCGAACCAGTCTCACGCGGAAATTAATATACTCAATATCATCGTCTAGAATCCGATGGCGGGAGACAAGCAATTTGGCATTTTCATAGTTTCTTACCGAGAGTTTTGGCATTATGGTTCTTTTGAGTCGTCCAAGACGAGACCAGTGAGGTATCTATATGAAAAAAGGAAACACGTTAGCATTGTTTAGCGTCGGAAGGAGCAAAAAAAGGAGATTTGCCATTTGATAAATCAAAACTGCTACAAGAACTCATCATCCAATTTGTTAACAATTAGAATCATTGTACTTACCTTACAAGCATTAATCCTGTGCAACAAAAGATCTAGATCGAATCCATAAATGTCATGACCCTATAATATCAAGAGAGTTCAAACGTTTAGCACTTGGTTTGACATCCTTGGCGCAAAACCTTGCATAAAGATATGCCCTGATCAAATCACTATTCACAAGAATAGTACAGAACTCTGACTATGTTCACATGGCAACGGACCAATTTTCGACCCGGCTGAAAAATTTGACCTGACAGTTCCTTCACAAGGGAACGTTCAATACTTCCGCTCTGTTCTCACGGAACTTTGAACGGCTAAACGTCTAAATTTTGGTACGGTTAAGTTGGTTCCGTGTGAACGGATCACCTAAACCCACGAATTTCAGTTCAACCGGTTGAAAATTCAACCGCTGCCGTGTGAACTTAGGCTCAGCTCTAACCTTGGGTGTCTCGATGCGCCCGCGGTACTCCCCACCCGACTTGGGAGGGGAGTACCCGAGCCTAAGGGAGAGGGGAGACTGAGCCTAGTGTTAACGTAGTAGATAGGGCAATCAACCGCACAAATCTCTATCCAGTGCATAGCGCAATAGGTTTTCATAAGACATATCCACTGAATAATGCGGATTTATCCAGTGGATAGCACCTTTCAATGTTTGAACCAGGGCCGCAACCGTAAAAATAAACGGTGCACAATTTACGTTGGAAAACCTTCATTTAAACCTGTTTTCTCAACGAACCAGTACACGTTCAATTAACCACTTTAGATTTACGACATTTAGAGTCGTGTCTTTTTAATTAGTTTGGAAAAAAAAATCTCGACGATGAAATCAGAAGGAGAATGAGAGAGAAAATCATCAGTCAAACAAAAAAAAGTTGCAAAAAAACATACCACCAGCACGTCAGGATCAATTTTGTGAATCTTCGCCATAAATAAGCCAAGAAGTGCTCTCTCCGATGCAGTGATCTCCATTTTAATTTGCTAGAGAAAAGACAATTGTTAACGGCTGCAGACACACAGAATTTCGTGAACCGTTGCAAAAGGTCACCCTTAGGGTCAAAGTCTCCCTTAAAATTAGTCATCTATCCGAAAGCAATTATGATCCCATAATTTTTTCTTTCTTTTTTTATTGGCTGAAGGAACTGAAGAAAATGCATCAATGCATATTACAGCCAAGAATGCAGCGTTAATGGTTTGCTACAAAATAGGGTACATTATTTCAATATTTAGCGTCTTGAACCCTGGGATGTCTTTCTGGACTGGAAGCCTTGAACAGGGTGTGGACATTTGTGGTGAGTGGTCTAATGAGTGGTAATAATGTTTTTTAAAAAATCGTATTCATTAATTCAATGATGTCACTTTCTAAAAGAGCTTGAATTCTGTATTCGAAGCAAAATGAATTAGGGTCACTAGGAAAAAAATGTATCTTTTCCTGAACAGTATGTAGTAAAATGAACGGTGTTTATCTTAAACAGGGTTAGGGATTGAAGGGTTTAGCATAAATCCCTACCTAAACTTGCCTTGGGGGACCCACGGGAGGATTGAGGGTATGCCTCTTCCCAATTTTTTTTCTAAAAGTTATGTCTGGTGATTTTTTCAATGCTGATTTTGCGCTTTGACTTAAATGCCTGCTGAATAGGGTTTGGTAGAAACTGTAGTGCTTACGGCTGTGTCGGTGGAAAACATCAAATATTCTCTACCTCTTGCCTATTCAGAAGTCGACTTTACCTTTTTTCTGACAAGATCTTTAAAGTCATACGGGTACATCTGATCATTCGGCTTGCTAACAGCTGAAAAACAAAGATGGCCGGTAAAAACTCTCGCAGAACTCGTAATTTAAAAAGTAGGCTTTCATTTTCTTATCAGTAAGAGTCATTCATGACGCTAGACCTAACGAAACTACGGCGACGACGGCAACAAAAACAAGAAACACAATAGATTTAGAGAGCAAAACAACAACTTTGCACGTGCATCACGCGTTTTTATAAATTTCTTGGCCGTCACTGCACAACTACAATTTTAAGTTGACTTGACAGCGGAAACGGCAAAACGATTAATTTTACCATCACTAGGGAGCTCAAACAACAACGACGGTAATGCTACGAAAACGTCACTTAAAAAATGAATTCGTGCTGCCTTATTCCATCTCGTTTAATTCGTCAAATGTTGGCAATTTTTTGGGAGTTGAGTTCTGAAGGACTGTACCAAAGTTCAGGAAAAGAAAAAGAAAGTTGTTGTCCTGTGTTCCCGTCCTCGACAAAACGTGAAATTAGGCACTTTCACGTCGTAGTCGTGCAACGACGGCTAAGAAATGTACAAAAAAGCGTGATGCACGTGCAGAGTTGTTGCTTTGCAAATCTAAACCTTTTTCATTTTGCCGTACTCGTTGCCGTCACCGTCGTCGTTGCTTAAGCTCCCCAGCTCTCTGAACTCGGACACCGTCCATTCTCGTCATTTCCAACTTACTTTCCCTACTTTCACTTGGTATGAGGGCGATTGTAATGGCACCTGAGCTAACCATGAGGTACTTCATTTAACTTACCACAAAAGTGATATTGGAATTTCTGTTTTGGAGCAGCCTTATCTAAGGACACGTCATGGTGAACCAGAGCTGACACAGCCAAGATCTTAAACACAACAGAGAATAAAAAGTCAAATGACCTGGAAATTCTTCTCACCAGAAGGGGGAGGGGTTTCCCCGGGGGGAAGGACTCCCATATGAAAGGGGCGGGGATGGTCGTCGTCTCGCTTAGGGATGTAAATTTCGGATGTTGGTCTCACTTAGCGTGTTCTGGGCAAAACGCCATTATATTTAGCGGTAAAGGTCTCTGTTAGTGTTGCACGCAAAGAAATATTAAAAAATTAAATATTTATAATTCGTCTTATTTCCTCGATTCATGTAATCAAAGTTTAAAATGGTCTCTTTTAGGAGTCCAAAAAAGGTTGCGCCACGCCCAGATTGGTCTCCTTTAGGGGTTTAGTGCAAAATTTCCGACGAGCATCCTTTCCTATGGGAATCCCCCCCCCCCCCCCCCCTGAGGCTTTGACCCTTGTTTTAAGAGGGGGGTAAGCCTGACTAGGACATCAAGGCCTAAATCATACTTTTCCCACTGAGATAAGGGGGGGGGGGGTAGCAGGAATAAGATGTGGGTATTGAAGCCCGTCTTCAGCAAGAACCAGGTTCTTAAGCAGCACCTCTTCTTAGAAAAAAGGTTCACTATACAAGAATTCGTTGATTGTTAATCCCAAATCACCACCACAGATCCAAAGTCAATTCATCTTCACAGGACACCCAACAATTGAGATAATCCAACTTCACAGGCAGCCCATCTCTGGCATTGCTGAAGGTATTCATAACAGGCATACCATTAATGCATTTCAGAAAGTAAAACGTGACATTTTTAGTGCTTGATTTTACTCATTGCTTACCTCGTGGGTGTGAGTCTTGGTGTTTAACATGGTCCTAAAACTAAGGCTCATGACAACCTACACAAAACATAATAATGAGAATGATATTGATACTGATTATGATGATATTGATAATGATAATGATATTGGTAATGATAATGATAATAGTATAGTATAGTATATCTTTATTGCGCCTTACTCTCTAAAGGGAAGCATCGGTCTAGTTACAATAAAGGTTTCTTCAACTACAATAAATTTCAAAAGAAAGAAATATGAACGGAAACAACAAAATTATACGGCATATACCATTTCGATAATAATTATACTATAATTTAATTACCTAATCATTGGATTTTTGACTCAGGAACTGTTTTCGTTTTTGAAACATTAGATGGGCATATTTGGCTATAATATGTGAAGTTTTGTCATTGTCCAATCTGAGTAAATATAACGTTTCATCATGATCTGTTAAATTGATGAAGGTTGCATCATTAATAAAGTTGCTGTCTAAGACTTTCATATTCAGTACAATCAATTAAGAAGTGTTTCTCGTCTTCTATGCAGTTTCTTTTCAATTTGCAAACCAAACAAAGCCTTTCCTCTACTGGTATAGATGCTCCTTTATTTTCATATTTCCCCGTTTGTATACGTAAAGTATGAACTCCCAATCGCAGTTTAGTTATACTGATTCTATGAGCTGGATTTCTAACTATCTTTACATATTCTTCCAAGCGATAATCTTTTTTCATTTCCTTGTTTGTATATTTTTGACTAGAGCTATCCGAAATGTCGTTTTGAGCTTTAAACCAATCTTGAGAAAATTTTTTCTCAAGATAATGATGTTGATAATGATATTAATAATGATATTGTTAATGATAATGGATAATAATAATGATATTGATATTGATAATGATATTGTTAATGATGATATTGATATTGATAATGATAATGATATTGTTAATGATAATGGATAATAATAATGATATTGATAATGATATTGTTAATGATGATATTGATAATGATAATGATAATGATATTGATAATGATAATTATAATGATAATGATATTGATACTGATATTGGTAATGATAATGATATTGATAATGATATTGATAGTGATAATGATAATGATATTGATAATGACAATGAAAACCAGCAGCACTAGGTGTTAGCATGCACCCCTCTTCTTTACTTGCTCACTAATTTTGCTGTTACAATCTTACCATAGGCGGAGGAGGACTTTGTTCACTTGCTACTTCAACATGATCAGGTTTTGTGACTACAGCCTGCAAAATAGTAATACTGATGTTACACTTAATGAAAACAAAATAAGGAAAAAAAAAGTATTGTCCAGAGACTGAACAAAAAAATTCCTACCTCAACTTTACACCAACTAACCTGTTGCTGAGGGAGCTCTGATGAAGACAAAAAATTATCTGTTTAAGTTTTTTTGCCGTCTTGTACATACAGTCAACAACAACATACACCTCAGTACAAGGAAAACTTAGGGACAATAATAAAATATTAATTTTTTCATTGTTGAGTACTGACAATTATTGTGTTGAGGTGTGGGTATTTTATAGGTGCTTTTTATATTACCTAATATGGTAATTCCACCAAATGCAAAGAAACTGCTCACAACCATATTAAGGCCATCATGAAGGAGCAGGGACCAGGGATTTCCCCTGGCAACTATGAGCATGACACCTGGCTTCTTTCATAGCAGACAAAAGGAAAAGAAAACCAAAAGAACTTCTGAGCTGTTCAATATCTGGCAACTTTTAATATCTACAGCTGTAGTCCCAGCTTATCTTTAAAACAAGTACCATTACTTGATATCACAAGACAGTGTCAACAGTCTTTCCTATTATGCTAGTGGCTAGTTTGTACATCAATAATACAATGGTGCATACTGAGGTTTTATTAACCATTTGCTAAGTAATGGTCAGTGAGAAGACTTACGACATCTTCCGACTCAGGAGAAGGAGTTCAAGGCTGAAATTAGAAGACGAAAAGATTCCTTTAAAGAGAAATAACTCCAAATCACAAAACCAAACTCCATTCTGATGAAATAATGTTTAAATTACCATTTTCAGAAAGGCGAGAGAAGATTGCTAATCTAGGAAACAGTTGATTTCATGATAATGTCTTCTTTAATGTTTAAATCCTACAGCTTTAAAATCTAAGCAGTTATATTTCATCATTATTTCTTTGTTGCTTTCCAACATTCACTATCTACTTATAACTTTGGCAAGTTCATTTCTCAAAGTCAAAAAACATTAACCCTTTAAGTGCCAATAGTGACCTTGATCAATTTTCTCCTGACAATATCCACACACTGTCAACAGATAAGTTATGAGATCACCCAAGTGATCACCCAAGAAAAAATGCCTTGATCTTTTATCAAATTCTCTCAACTCATTCTTTAAGGAAATGTATGGAGATCAGTTTGGAGAACTTGTATGTGGATACTGGGGCTTAAAGGGTTAATTCTGTATCATTACCTTGATGTATTGGTACCAAACACATGACTGAATGTTTGACCAGTGAGATCAGATGGTAACTGAGGATAATCCGCCTGTCATGAATAATGTTGTCACAAATTAACTTCCTTTTCATCAATGCTGCAAATAACCCTCCTTCCCTTTCACTTTCACCCCCCCCACCCTCCCCTAGTGCCCTCACCTGGGGCAGCAGCGTGGCCAAGTTGTCTTTAGATCAGACTCCCAATCCGGCAGTCCCGAGGTTCGAGTCCCACTTTGGCCACTTGCTGGATTTGTTCTTGGTCGTCCTGAGTTCAAATCCTAAGCCACGCTTGTAAATAGCCAACTGGTTGCCTCCTCCTAGATTTTTTTTTTTATAATTTCCTGTTATGTTCTATTTGCATTATTTGTTTCAGAATTGTTTGAGTTGAGTGCCTGTAAACTAGCTGGATAAGCTAAGTGCATTTTCCACTCTAAACAAACCTTTAAACCTTTTTTAAGCCTTAACAACTTAGAGCCCATCCTGGCACCTTCCCTTCTCAAATTCAAAGAGCCAATATCTTTCAACAAGTGACCTTTGTTACAAACACTTCCAGCAACCAAATTATCACCTACTAAGTCACATGACCTTTTGGAGTTAGATTCAGGGAACACATTTCCAACACTAAAGCAACAACAAAGACAGTGGGGGAACCCCCTCAAGTATTCTGGCCACGCCCTGGATATCGCCTCCTTCTCAATATTTGCAAGGGAAGATGACATGTTTAAATTAAGTGTCATGGACAACATTGAAATCAATTGTCAGGTTCCAACATTGAATATGCCAGTTACGACCTTCCATGATCTACGGAACTGTTCATCTCCTGATTCACAGTCACTTGAAAAAAAAAAGAAAGATTAAAACTCCATCACTTCATAAAGATTCCAAGATAAAATGGAAAGCTTGTGTGTCTTAAAAAAAATTATTTTCACAAGTCTAAAAACTGGTTTACTGGTATGGTTATTCTGTTATAACCTAAAATTTATCATCTCTCACCGAATATTTGACCTCCAAGTACTCTGATGTCACAGGAACATCTTGAATCTCAAATGCATAAGCCTTTTGGGCTTTCTAGGGACATAAGTTACACACACTCATCAACAGAACTGCATAAAAGTGACAACAATCAAAATTGTTTAAACAATCTGAATTAATTACCCTAGATATGAACTTTATGATCTTGCACTTTGTTGCAATCTTATCATAAAACTCCTGAAAAAGAAATAACAAGAAAGTGATGAAATTTAGCTCCCTCAAAGTCATGGTTATTGTACTATGATCACCATAGGAAGACTAAAAAGTGACCAACATCAATTTGCTCCTAACGAGATCACTGCATCATCAAGACACAACATCAAGGTAATTAACAATTTCCTAAGGTAAAACGCTTTTGTCTTTTACTCTCTCTCAAGTAATTCTTGGAGGGAATATATGGAGATCAGTAGAGAAAATTTTGTGTGAGATTGGTGAACCTCAATACCCATTTTAGTGTGTGGAAGTTGGCTGCCAAGGCTAAGGGGGGGGGGGTATTAGTCAAGAGAGTACCATGCTTTACTAGTAAAATTTAAAGGAGGGGGCTTAAATATCAGGGGGGGAGTTATTAGAAGGACTACAGCAGCAGATCCAGAAAATTCAGAAATGAGTGGCCAGGACACTTAACAGCTTTATTCTAGGTACTTTTTAATTTTCTGAGACGAAATTCTATAAAAATAATATTAATTTTCAAAGGAAAAGGGGTGGTTGTGGCCCTGTCGGTCCACCCCTAAATCTGCCCATGGACTACAGTAATCAAAATTACTATGATTAAAATCAAATCATTATTTTTTTTTTTTACCTGGTAAACATCAATATAAACCCAACATGCTCATCAGTTTCAAACATCAATTAATTTAGAACACTGTTGCAACAGGAACAGAAAATGTTTGAAAAGACATGCAAGAAGAACTCAACAACTGCAGCAATGTTTATACATCCATTCTCTCACCTTTTCTCTTGGGAGAATAAATATTTGTCTCTCAATGTTCTTGACTGCCACTGAACAGCTAGTATGTAAATAGGGAAATTTTTAATTAGTGGTTGCGAGTCCACTAAGTGGTACTTAGTTAAAGAGAAAAACAAAATGCAGATAAACAGTAATCACCTCACATATGCTTTTGCAGCTTCAATCCAAACCTTTCCAAAAAGGTATACAGTACCTGTAGGATAGAGAATAATTAACAGAACATTCAAAACTTACAGTAAACCTAGTGATTTTCTTAATAATTCAACTGTCCAGCAACCTTGACCAACTCTACCTGGTTGTTTGAATCTGTCTTCATATAATTGCATCAAACCAGTAGAATTTAAGGAATTTTTACCCTGACAGGAGAAAGAAAAGATGATCCTTGTAAGAACAATATATGGAGTGGGCAACAAATTTAGTACTTAAAAATTTGGCCAGAACTGGCATCACTAGTCAGACATCCTTGCAAGATTCCCTAGTTTCTTTCTGTGTCCCTTTTATATGTTGGCCTTTATCAAGCCTTTCTATCAAAATGTTAGCTCTAGCAGAGATTTTTGCACTGTGGATGAAATCCCGTCTGACTGTTCAACCTCTTAAGCAGTACTTTTACATAGGGTTGCTAGTTTTCCATCTTCTTGGAAAGTGAAATGTCAGGAGTCTTCTCGAATTTTTATTTTGCCCATCTTGAGAGCATAACTGGAGGAGGCCTACATTTTCACTTTTTAATAATTTCAAGCTTGAAACTTGTTGATTGCTGATATGTTCACTAACCATCTACTTCTTTGAGTGGAAGAGAAGACGAATCCACATTAACATCCATCAAAACCTACAGCAGCACATAAAAAGAGAAAAAAAAAATTACAATGTAAGCAGTTAAACCATGTTAATACAGGCACTGAGGGGGCCATAGAAAGTGACCGTATTAACAGGTTGAAATTAGAGAAGACGTAAGGGCTTTCATTCGCCAGGGGCAAAACAAACTGTCCGCAATAACGAGGTGTCCACATTAAGCAGGTGTCCATTATGCAGGGTTTGACTGTATGCAACTTAAACAAAATTTGTTTAAAACGAACAGGAAACAAATTAAAGCTATACCATACTTTTCTTAGTCTCCCTCACATTTTTTTTTTGGATGTCACGCAATGCTTCCCTAAAAGTTCTTTTGGGGGAGCGTTACGTGACATCCAAAAAACGGCTGCGAGGGAGACTATACTTTTCTCCGTGTTGTGATGAAGTAATACAGAGAGGGGCTTCTCATTCCGGAGAAAGAGATATGATGTCATTTTCATATAATTCAAAAAAGACGCTTGACTTCTTGTGCAATGAAAGGCAGGGAGGTGACTAAGAACAAAACACATTTACAAGAATCTTTTGACAGTTTTATACCTCTTGTTGTTGTGAATCTTCATTTCCTAAGATAGTTTCCCATCCTGAATCACCAGGAAGTTCTGTTGTTCTGCAAAGATCCATGTACTTACAATTTCTAAATTACGTTTTTTCATGATATCAAGATATTTTGAGGGCTAGACTGCAGAGAAAGCGTAATTTTTCAGCATTTTTAGGCGAGGAAAGGCAAGCGCAAGGCAGGAGTGGAATGCAAAGCCTACCACCATCACTTTATTACAGATAATTAAATAAAAAGGAAATCATTATTATTTAGCAAACTATGAATATCCAAAAATGCCCGGCAGTGCTGTGGACAGTAGTTTTGTCTGACTGTGCCCAAAACACAAGACAAGAACCCCTAAATCAGCCAGTTATTTCCTGAAAGCGGTCATGAAAACCAAATGGTACAAAGGTATCAGCTCAACTAGCTGTAACATAATCATTTCTTTGTTCAACAAAAATTATCTGCTGACAAGATCCAACAAGTTCCAGTGACTTTGCTTCAAAACACATGTGACCACACCCTTCCCTTGACTTCAAAACACAAACATGACAATTATTACCTCCAGCCCCAACAAGGTTAAAAAGTCATATGATAATAATGCATTATTATTTCTCAGAAATATTTAAATTGTTTAGTGATGTCAATGAATGGCAAAATAAATATCATAATAGAATTGCATACTTCTGTGGCATAAAGCGCATCTTCTGTCATTTGGTTTCTCACTGGCCTCAACCTGAGAGGATAATTAAAGAAAAGTATATGAAGTACTTCTGATTGTTGAATAGATAGAGAAGTGAGTCAAGAGATCAACAAAATTTGACTGTAAAATAAAGGTGATCTTAAAAAGTTGGTCAGAGACTGAGAAGAATGATTAATTTTTTAATTTTACAATTTCTTGGAAAAGATGAATTCAGTAACTTAAAAAGTTTTTTGGTTTAAGTTTAAGGGAGTCTAAACTAAATTGTAGGAAAACAATCAGGTTGCTTAAGCCTGAACCTGCTACTTAGATTATTTTGAACAGGTTGGTGTCCTACAAAACAAGGTTAACCTGGTATTGAATCAATATAGAATCGATATAGTAGGGTACCTTGATGAATAACCTGGTATTGAATCAATATAGTAAAGTACCTTGATGTGAGGTTTTACATCATGATTCTTTTCTGCGTTTGATAAAGCCTGGAGAGTTTCTTCATTGCCAAGATCATCGTCATTATTAAAGTCATCAAAACCAGCATCATACTCTGGCATGTAATCATATGAAGCAGGAACATCTAGCAGAGATTTTTCTGTTATTTACACATGTATGATTATAATTAAACTAAACCATGTTTAATGACAGCTCAGAAAAAGTTATTAGTATTGGCTGACATAATGGCCAATACTATAATTAAGTCTTGGCTAATAATTATGTTAGTTGACATAAGTTATACCTGTTCATCAGACAGGTTGACATATCAGCCGACGCGCAGCAGACACTCAGTCAACATGTTGGATGACACACCAGCTGACATGTGTGCCACGAATCGGCAAAACACATTGGCTGAGTGGTGGTTCATATGTGCACAACACGTCTATGTTGGTGACCAGTCCAAACAATGTCAGCTCATAGTGATGACCAATACTGATCTTCCTAACTGTGCCCAAAGATCCAATTTTACTTGCCCAGAGGAGTTCCATGGTTGTCTTAGTCTGTTTCATTATGCAAAGAGGACTTGACTGGGCTGCCCATGAGGCAAGTCAACAAGGAAAGTTACTTATAACTAGCAGGACCAATTTCCCGCCCTGCGAGTGTACACTTTGCCTTTAAAAATCTGATGACAAAATTCTATCTTTTTTACCTTCCATCCCTGTATCCATATCTGTCATTTCAAGTTTTTCCTCTCTGATTTTTTCTCCAACCATTAGCTACCCTACTTTCTTTCTGTTCTATCACATGGTTCAGTTTTTACAGCCGCCACAGATCTTATCTTTGCTGTAATGTGACTGGGTTTTGGTGGGGAAGTAGGCTCCTGTTTGAAAAGGGGTACTCTTGGGTTAGATGATTCCTGTTGAATGAATTTATTAGCAAAATCACTGGAGGGAGTATTCAGTGAACTTTCTATAAACCTCAGCACTCTGCTTTCACATGGCATCTGCCTTGCAGAGGGTTTAGGTGTGGATAATTAGCGTGATAAGTAGAAACTGTCCCATTCATCTTATAAGAGACCTTGGAGGTTGTGGGAGGCAGGGGGAAAGGTTTTCATGCCAAACTACAAAGTATAAACAAAACAAGATGCTTTGGGTCATTATAAGTATAAAGCCAGAACAATAATGTTTACAATGTTTACAATTAACGTAAAGTTATTGTATTTGTTGCGAAAAAGGTAAGGACAAAACTATGCTTGTTACCGAAGATTTCTGGAGTCGAAGTGACTCCCTCCGTAACCTCAGTGGAGTCATTTGAACAATTTTGGCGTAAAATACGCCAAATTTGCCGTATTTGCGAACCCTGGACCCTACATCTACCCACCCAACCGTTTGTCAACATCACAGGGCAACTGTGAAACATCACACTTTCTAGCTACAGTGTAGTGTAGGAGCCCCCAACCCATGTTTCACTCGATATCTTTATAAAGCTATTTTACACTGTAGCAGAGGTAAAATGATTTAGGAGTGCACTTTTGCTGTTAACGCTTGTCGCTGAAGTTTAAGCACAAAGGCGATGAACTTCTCACCATCATCAATGACCGAGTCCTCTTCCTGTCGCTTACAGACAATGTCTGAGTATTCATCTTCATTTACCACCTGATAAACATCAGCCACTTCACCAACCTTGAATAA